GCTTAAATATTAACTTTTTTAAATATATCTTGCAATCAAATTTTAATAAAGGGATCAAATAAATACCTGAGTCAGGGTTGGTACTATTGATTGAAAATTAATCTTGTGTTTGGAAGATATTTATGTCCATCTCCCTCCCCCACTTTCAAATTTATGATCAATTACACTCCCCTTTTTTTCCTATTACTGTCCTGAACTGGATTATTGTGTCATGCTCCAAGGTTTGAAATTTGATCCCATTAATACCACCCAATACTTTAAGCTGTGTTTTAAAAGATATTTATGTCCACCTCCCTCCCCCACAGGTGAAAAGAAAAAAACAGGCATGAGAAAAACAATAACTTGATAACTTGCCAAATTTCTTTAACATTCACTTACTAATTTAAAAGTTATAGCATGAAAACTAAAACAAGCACAAAATGGTTTGGAGGTCAGTCCCAGGGACCAAGCACATGCTGAAAAGAGTTAAAGACACTGATAAAGAGAGGGTACCTTTTAAGGACACTGATAAAGAGAGGGTACCTTTTAAAGTCACTGATAAAGAGAGGGTACCTTTTAAGGACACTGATAAAGATAGGGTACTTTTTTAAGGACACTGATAAAGAGACAGTACCTTTTAAAGTCACTGATAAAGAGAGGGTACCTTTTAAAATCACTGATAAAGAGAGGGTACCTTTTAAGATCACTGATTTTATGTATTTATTGTTGATATACTATTTCTACACTTTGTTTTTATCTGAAAAAGTGGAAATGAAAACAAAATAGGAATTTATTTTGTAGATGATTTAACCAATTACAAGCCACCATGTCTCAAATCTCCTAGTGTTAATGCTTTTTGATTAGCTCTTTTCTTTGCCAACCTGTTGATCGGCTTAACTCAAGAATTGATGTCTAATAGTAGTGAAACATCTGCTAGATAAGTGGAATCCTGAGTTTGAGTTCTGTTTTTTTTGTTCTTTTTTGATCTTTAAACAAGCAATCTGTCACCTTAAGATGGATGTTGTGCACATACTTTTTCTTCTCATTCTACTTGCCTTCTTAGTTTGAAAAAATGATAATTACCATGGGAATTCACTGCAGAATTCAAACATTAACATTATAATACAGCCTGTGAATCTGTCCTTTTCATCCACTCAATGGTCTTGGAATCTTACTAAACGTTTTTTTTAGCTCTGTAGTTTTTAGATATTTCTGGTTCTTTTATGTGATGTGTACAGTATACATGTATGTTTATGATTTTCAGCCATACATATATAATTAATCAAAGAACTTAAAGCGAATTTCCATTTAAAAACTCATGTGATTTCTTCCCTGATATCTTTGGTGGTGTCATCAGATACCTGATGGAACTGGAGCGTGAAGCCGTAGATATGGGAGTGCTGAAGCCGCCACCACTACCCGAAGAAGTTCCTTTAGTGGGAAGCTAATGAGGAAGGTTTTTGTTTATCTGTAGGTGTAGGATGTGTAGATTAAACAGTTTTCCCCTCAATTCATAGGATCGTTCAGTTTAACAGAATTTTTAACACAAACTCTTAAAGTAAGAACTAAAAGCTTCAGTATTTATCAATTGTTTATGACAGTTATTTGACTTTTTATGCTATATTTGTCTCCACTTTGAAAGTATGTAGAATTTTATCACTGATAATATGATTGGTGTAACTACATTAGTGTTATGTTGAACACAGATACGTAGTTTAGAAGATTGAGCTAGTAACGTAGCATCGGTTCTCGAATCATATCAGAATACATTTTTAATCCATGGGTAATTCATTGTTTGTTAGTTCATTGTGGCATTGTTTCTATATAAATGAAATTAATATCAGTATTGTTGGGTTTAGCTATCTAGTCGGGTTTTTCTATCAGCAACCTATTTCACACACCTATGGTGATTTTACATATACCCACGCTAGTCTATTATATATTAATATCCAATGGTATGAAAAGAAAAAGGAAAATTCTAGATTGTAGTTAATTTATTTCATAACAGTTGTCATCGAGATTTAAGTTGATAAGAAAACAATACCAGCTTTGCATGGTATTCCTGTAGCTTTCAGTGTTGTAAGTAATGTATTTTGTATTCAAGTTAGTTTATTATAATTTATATAACATGTAAACTGTATTGATTGTGTGTGTAATTTTGGTATATGTATTTTTTAAATGTATAAATAAAACTCAACAAATTAAAATGTTTAATATTTAAAGTATTTTCCAGTGTTTTTTTATTGCCGTTTATTATGGTGCAAGGTATCAACTCTCTGTACAGTAATGTTTTGATTTAAAATTATCATTTCCGAGCAGGTTTATCTTAAGAACGGGAATAACTAGAGATATAGTTGCTAATGCTACAGTTATAATCCAATCAACCTTATATTCTACCACTGTAACTGTTATTAAAAGTATGTTTTCTGGTAAACCATGTGTCTGGAACTTCCACTGAAATGTTTAAACACAGATTAGATGACTGTCTTTCTGTTTAAACGTTCTTTATATGGAGAACATCGTAAACAATAAGATGGTCAATAGTGGCTTCCACTGAAATGTTTAAACACAGATTAGATGAGTGTCTTTCTGTTTAAACGTTCTTTATATGGAGAACATCGTAAACAATAAGATGGTCAATAGTGGCTTCCACTGAAATGTTTAAACACAGATTAGATGACTGTCTTTCTGTTTAAACGTTCTTTATATGGAGAACATCGTAAATTTTCTCATCTTTTCCATTTGTGTATGCTGGCTTTCTCTCAATTGTTTGAGACTTTCTTCTTGTTTATTTTCTTTCTACTCCAACCACTGCTGTAGTCTCTCTTGCTTATTTTGCTGTTTGAGCTGCCACTGTTGCAGGTTTTCTTGCCACTGCTGCTGTCTCTTTTCTTGTTTCTTTTCTCGTTCTTCTTCTTTCTTTTCTTTTTCCTCCAACAACTGTTGTAATCTCTCTTTTTGTTTATTTTCTCATTCTTCTTGTTTCTTTTTCTGTTCTTTTATTGCTGCCATCAAATCTGCTAAGCTGTAGTTTGATTTCCCACCTCTCATTTCCATCTTCTTTTTCTTTTTTTTCTTTTCCGTCCTAGTCTCTGACACCAATTTGTTACGTCTGTGTTCGTTTGTTAATTTCCCAGTATAAATTCTTCCCGAGGAACTTCCGCGATACAAGTCCTTTCTTAAATAAAAGTAGTTTATTTTTTCTCAATACAACTTTGCAATACACTTAATTTCCACAGTCACTTTAACTTAAACACACGCTATAATTCAGAACGATTCACGCACTTTCCTTACGTCACTACTGCTTGCTTGACTCAATTATCTGTCTATCTGCCATTATATCTCCCCTTTATTTGCCGGGCTTATATACAAAAAAGAGGGCGCCTACAAAAGACTAGAGTAGCCAGGAACAGTCATGATCCTACTAGAAACTCCAGTGCGAATGCTTCCAGCGTCACGTGACTTCCGCTGTCGTAACAATAACAAATCTGTATATTTTTTTACTTTAATCATGTAGCTAGAAAATAAATTTAGTCCTAACGCCTTGCTGATTGTCGTTATATTTCTATTGTTTCAAGTTTAATTAGCTATAAAATAAATTTAGTCCTAACGCCTTGGTGATTGTCGTTATATTTCTATTGCTTTAGGTTTAATTAGCTAGAAAATAAATTTAGTCCTAACGCCTTGCTGATTGTCGTTATATTTCTATTGCTTTAAGTTTAATTAGCTAGAAAATAAATTTAGTCCTAACGCCTTGCTGATTGTCGTTATATTTCTATTGCTTTAAGTTTAATTAGCTAGAAAATAAATTTAGTCCTAACGCCTTGCTGATTGTCGTTATATTTCTATTGCTTTAAGTTTAATTAGCTAGAAAATAAATTTAGTCCTAACGCCTTGGTGACTGTCGTTATATTTCTATTGCTTTAAAGAATACGTTATGTTAAATCATTGTGTTTACACATAAAACCTAATGATTTAGTTTCTAATTCGACATTTATTTAGTTCTGTATGAAAAAAAATCGTGTTTGTTGTCATTCTTATATATTTCATGTTACGCATTTATTTTTATTATTATGACCTGGTGGTTTAGGGGCTCAACTCGCAATCTTAGGGTTTCTGGGTTCGATCTCATTCTCCGAAAATGGTTATCTTTTCAGTCGTGGGACGTTATAACGTGACGATCATTCCCATTATTAGATGGTAAAAAGAGTAGCCTAAGAATTGGCGGTGGGTGGTGTTGACTAGTTTCCTTCTCTCTAGTCTATCACTGATAAAGTTGGAACGTCTAACACAGATAGCTTTCGAGTAGCTTAGCGTGAAATTCAAAAACAAACTTAACAGTTATTTATTTGATAATTCAACAACTATACATTTGTTCATAAATAACAAAAAAAAGGATATGCATTATATTGTTTTTATTTTTTGGTTCTGTCGTCGTTACAACATTCCAACGTTATTTTGAAACTTAAAGCTAGGTTGACTCAATTTATTTTCGTACGTAACTAGACCTATCAGTGTTTAAGCCTCAGTGACGACAATAATTTTTTTTTTTTGAATAAAACTATTCGAACAGATTCTGGTGTATTGTAAACGAAAAATAAAACAACAGAAAGAGATATTATAAATATCCCCAGTTGATAAGTTTGGGTAACTGTATTATCGCTTATTTATTATTATTTACTGTCGATATAATTACATAAAATGTATTAACAAAATAATAGAGTCAATTTGGCCTAGAGATATGTGTTGTTTTTAACGTTGTGTTTTCATGTATTAATGTTTCGGGTATGAAACTACATTTGAACGGAAGGTTTCTTTAACCGAGTAAAAATATTAGTTTTGTATTATTTTTGCTACATGTTTTTATTTTAATGATTATTGATATCCTATTTCTTTAATAATTAATCTAGTTTAGGGTCACATATTGAAGTCTCAAACCAACAATGAAAATGACCTGTACACACATTAGAAACCATTGAAACTGGACTTAGGGTTCAACAATAAATAAACAGACCATACTTCTGGAATATTCGAATTTGTTTAAAAGCAGATTTATTTGAAATCTATATATATTATTTACATACAAACATCAGTAGTTCATCATGAAGCTACAAACAAACAAATATACACAATACGTCAAAGTAAATCCCATTGATTAGGTAGAGCTCCACATTTCGTATATTCAGGGCAGTAACAAGTAAAAAGAACAACTTACCAATGAATGTAGATCAACCATTATTGTGTAACAAAGAGAAAAAACGAGCATTAAAGACGTTGTGACAGTATTCATACACTTAACTAACACAAGTGTTTTCAATTAAAATATATTCCGAAAGCCAAATAATTCTTCGTATAATGATGAAACTATTGCAGTGTAAATATTAATATTTCCAGGGGCCGCCTCCAGGAACGACAATGATTTTCTTATGTCCTCCCCCATAACCGTAGGGTATTCTTGGTGGATAATATGGAGGGGGGTCAGGGGCAGAAGATTGGATAACGACGTCAGCAGGGTTGCTGGTCTTGGTGCCTGGTTCGTTGGTGTAAACGTGGGCTCTGAATCCCTCTGGGCCAGCTGTGTAATGGACCTTTCTCAAACGTCCATCTGGATCAGAAACTTTGTATGATCCTCTCACCCTGCCATATCCATCTCCAGATTCCTGGCGAGCACTGAAGCCACCATCGGCGGGGGCGACATAACTGAAAGTGTATGGTGTTGGAATAGAAGGATAAACTGGTTGATAAGCACCACCGTAGCCTCCCTGTTATCAAATAGAAAAAACAAATACTCTAACATTTCTGTAGCTTATAGTTATCATCAGATTTTGATACAAAAATTGTTTTCTTCGTGCAAAGACAATGAACCGTTTGTATTATGTATCCGCCCCGGGAAATCGAACTCTGGTGTTTAGCTTTATTATTCCTTAAGTTTACCGTTGATCCACCGGGGGGCTACTATTATACAAATAAAATAATTTAGGGACTCAGTTGAAACTGACTATTTCTGTGCAACAATAGCAGTACATTTCACTATATAAACAATTAATACGTCATCAAACTCCACTGAAGACAGTCGGTAATGTTCTTAAAGTTTCACTTGTATCTTTGATTGGGAGGAAATTGAACACGTTTCTAACAAAGTTTATATTCGCAATAGCTGAAATAGCTCAAAACTACCGTCTTCTGTAGATCAACAAATTATCCATTATGAGCCAGTTCTTATAAAATAACAACCGGGAGAAACTTGTGTATTTCAATTGTTGTAATATATCATTGTATCTCTAAGGTTGGCGTCTTATTACAGGTTACAAAGACCGTTGTTGTAGGAGATAAAAAATATTATACTATATGTAATTATGATAAGGATGTGGCGATTATAAACCAGCTAATGTGCTGCCATCATCAGGATATTTCCCATAAAAACTGCATTTGATGGCAGGATTTGGGATTCGAACCTGGGTCTTTTGTTAGAATGTAAGATTATTATAGTTTATTTTGACAGTAAATAGAGTAATTCTGATGTTTTAAGTTTACGTTTTAATACTTAACAATTATTATGAATAAAACAAACAACATCCAGTACTTACAGAGTAGACAGGACCAGAAGGGATCCCTATATACCCCGCTTCCAATGCAACAAGAAGTCCGAGAATAACCAGCACCTGATAAAGTGAATCACATAAAATTGAGCATTTTAAATATACTATGTGTTCTTTTATTTCAAAACAACTTAGATCAATATCAGATAAAAGAGAATTAGAACCTTCTATTGAGTTATATTGAATAACTGACACATTAAAACTTAAAGAATAATATGGTTTCTGCCTTATTGATATTTAATTTATCTGATACTTTATTTTGTACCTCAATGTATAAGCTACAAGACAACTTAGCTGAGATTTAAAAATGGGTTACTATACTTGCCTGAAACATTTTTCTCTGTCTTGAAGTGTTCTGATCAGAAACAGCAAGTATGAAGCTTTATATACCTGCATCGTAACAACGTTGTTTTCTGACGTCGTGACTAGATCGTTCTATAGTTTGTTATATATTATCTTATAAAATTAAAATTGCTGTGATATTCTTGTAATGTTATCAACAATAGTATTGTATCTGACTAACGTCACTAGAACGTTCCATAGCTTTTTCTTCGTGTACATTTAAAATCTCGTTCCATAACTCGTTAAACAAAGACCACGTGTTTCTCTTAAATAGAAGGTAATAGTATATTGAAATTCCTTTAAGAAAGTTATTCCAAGTTATGACATTGTTTGTATAATTTAAAACAAAATAAAAATTCCCACTTATGTATTTAACATCACGCTTTTCTGTAGTCCTTGCTATAGAATAAGTAGGGCGTTCTCTCATTCCACTGTCCCTTAATTAATGATAAAATGGTTTTACTTTCCGAGGTTTTTTGTTGATAAATCATTAGCCATAAGGTTGGCATCCGACAAAGTAAGGAAACGAGTCTTTATTGGTCAGGACTATTGTTAGTCAGACACAATACTATTGTTGATAACATTACCAAGAATATCACAGCAATTTTCATTTTATAAGATATTAAACAACAAGCTATGGAACGTTCTAGTCACGTTAGTCAGACACAATACTATTGTTGATAACATTACAAGAATATCACAGCAATTTTAATTTTATAAGATATTAGATAACAAGCTATAGAACGTTCTAGTGACGTTAGTCAGACACAATACTATTGTTGATAACATTACAAGAATATCACAGCAATTTTCATTTTATAAGATATTAAACAACAAACTATGGAACGTTCTAGTGACGTTAGTCAGACACAATACTATTGTTGATAACATTACAAGAATATCACAGCAATTTTCATTTTATAAGATATTAAACAACAAGCTATGGAACGTTCTAGTCACGTTAGTCAGACACAATACTATTGTTGACAACATTACAAGAATATCACAGCAATTTTAATTTTATAAGATAATAAATAACAAACTATGGAACGTTCTAGTGACGTTAGTCAGACACAATACTATTGTTGATAACATTACAAGAATATCACAGCAATTTTAATTTTATAAGATATTAAACAACAAGCTATGGAACGTTCTAGTCACGTTAGTCAGACACAATACTATTGTTGATAACATTACAAGAATATCACAGCAAGTTTAATTTCATAAGATATTAAACAACAAGCTATGGAACGTTCTAGTGACGTTAGTCAGACACAATACTATTGTTGATAACATTACAAGAATATCACAGCAATTTTAATTTTATAAGATATTA